CCTCTGATGCTGCTTGGCCTGCTGTGTTCATCCAGTTCTACACCTTGTTATCTCAGATTCTCCAGCATCTGCAGTTCCTACGACCGCTTCTCTTTTTGCCCTCCTGATTTCCCTCTCAAGAATGCCTCTACACTCTTTATACTCTTCAAGGCATTCATTAGATCCCAGCTGCCCATATCTAAGGTATGGCTCTTATTCTTAACCAGAACCTCTCTATCTTTATTCATCCATTGTCCCCTAATCTTATCAGCTTTGCCCTCCACTCTAACAGGAACATTGTGCCTCTGAACTCTCGTTATCACACCATTAAAAGCTTCCACTTGTCGAATTGCATGGTATTCTATCTATAAATGTAACACCTCCTTTACAGGCATTTTTGATTAACTGGCACCATCTTCTGGAGCATATAGTTTTCTTACATAAAGACGAATGATTAGGATCTAAAATGAACTGCCTTAGTGTGTTGTGGAGCCAAACAGATTAAGCCTTTCAAAACGAAACTAGATAAACAACTGACAATAAATGATTTGCAGGGTTAAAGAAAAAAGAGCAAGGGAATAGGGCTAGGTGATCTTTCATGCGCAAACTTAGTAAGTCAAGTCGTCTCCTTCGGTGCTTTAACCATTTCCTGTTTCTACGAATACGTGTATATTATTGCAAAATAACATTTTTTTTCCCAAAAAGGTACCAATTTTAATTTCTGACTTCAATTCAGATGAATTAACAAGGCTGAAATCTTGATCAAGTGCTGTAATATCTTGCCACGAACCTTCACCAACTCACGTAATAATTTATTTCATCGCGACTGCCAGGAATGCACAGAAAACAGCTTTACTTAAAAAGGGCCAAAGTACAAAATGTTTAGATTTTACTTTAGTTTTCCTTTCCTCCCCTAATATTTTTCCCTGCTGAAGATACGCACATGCGAACATGCAAAATTAGGAGCAGGCCATTCACCATCACCAGCACCACCTCGCCTCCAACGCAGCAAGTACATAGGAAGGCATGTAGAATGTGGGCCTTTGTTGGAAAGGTAATGAAGGTTAGAATTAGGGCACTGAGAAGTTCACACCCAAAATACTCTATAGTTTTGGTCTCCTTACACAAGGAAAGATATACCTGCATTACAAGCAGTTCAGAAAAGCACAATGATTCTGAGGGAGCTCAACAGGGCAGATGTTAAAGAGGATTTTCTTTTTTGCTCACACGAGAATTTAGAACACAAACAAGTAGGTTCAAAATTAGAAGTCATCCATTTGTGACAGAGATGAGGAGCAATTCTTCTCTAAGGATTCTTAATCTTTGAAATTCTCTTCCACGGAGCAGTGGGGTCACTATGTTCAAGGCAGAGTTAGACAGATTCTTGATGATAGACAAGGGAGTCAAGGGCTATGAGGGTCATGCAAACATATGAACTGAGGCAACAGTAAGGCTTTCAGCCCCTCAAGCCTAGATCCCGTTCAATAAAATCATGGCGGATTGGATCACTCCACATTCCTGCCTACACACAATAGCCCTTCACCCACTTGTTCACCAAGAACTTATCTACCTTTACCTTAAAAATATTCAAGGACTCTGCTTCCACAACATTTTGAGATCCAAAAACTCATAACCCTCAGAAAAAAATCTTATCTGCCCAAAATAGGTGACCCCTTATTTTTAAGATAATGACTCATAGATCTAACTTCGCTTACAAGAAGAAACATCCTTTTCACATGCAACCTGTCAAGACCCTCAGGATCCTGAATATTTCAACCAAGTGCATCTTACTCTCCTAACTCCTGCAGAATCAAGCCTAGCCTGTCCAATATTTCCTCAGAAGACAACTTGTCCATTCCAGGTATGAGTATAGCAAGGGTGATTTGAGCTGCTTCCAATGCTTTTACCTCCTTCCTTAAATAAGGAAACTAATACTGTACAAAGGACTCCAAATGTAGTCTCACCAATGCTCCACATAACTGAAGCATAACCTACCAACGTTTGTATTCAATTCCCCTAACAATAAACAATAACATTTTCTTGTTATCCTATTTAGTTGCTGCACGTGCTCAGTAACATTTTGCAACTCATGCACTTGGACACTTAGATCCCTCCAAACCTCAGAGTTCTGCAATCTCTTACTGTTTAGACAATATGCTTTTCTATTCTTCCTGCCAAAATCGACAATTTTGTATTTCCCCACATTATACGCCGTTTGCCAGATCCTTGCCCATTCATTGGAGTCCACAACTTTTGGCAGCCTCCTTATGAGCACTTTACAACTTACATTACTAATTATTTTTGCACCATCAGCAAATTTAGCAGCTATATCTTCAATCCCTTCATCCAAACCATTTCTATAAACTAAAAAAAGGACACCCCAGCACTTTTTAATTGACACGAATAAACTACTAAAACACATGGAGTCAAGGTTAACTTTAAAAGTGAATTCACCCAACCCTTGCGAAGTTGACATTCCCTGGGTTGTCAACAACGCCGTAAGCCATTTGGCCTCTCGCTGTGTTTACTAATGGTGATGGGGAGGGGGTTCGGTTAAAAGTGTTAGATCCTCTGCGTCCTGGTTACGGCTGTTGCAGACAAATAGACAGAGGTGAGACAATACCTTGGTCACAATTTCCTCTCTCGCTTCTCGTTTAAATTCTCTTCTTTCCGCGATTGCTTTCGCACTTTCAAACCTGCCTCCGTATTCCGCCATGTTGCCGTTACCTTAGCAACATGAACTTTTACGACAGCTGAAAACGACCGTCGTGAAGATTCGCCGATGTCCCGGAAGCTGCGCGCGCACTTTGTTGGAAGAATTTTTGCTTTTTTCTCCTTTTGATTTGATTATACGAGAATTCGATATAAACAAAAACAGAAGTTGTTGGCAAAGCTCAGCATCTGTGAAGAAAAAGTCAGAGCGTTCTGAGGAAAGGTCACTGAACCCGAAACGTTAACACTGATTTTTTTCTTCACAGATGTTGCCAGCTTTTCCAGCAACTTGTGTTTTTGTTTCTGATTTACAGCATCCTCAGTTCTTTCGGTTTTATTTGGATATAAACGTTCATTTCTAGTATCAAAATATATGCTAGCGCAAAAGAAAAGTCAAAAACTTTGTCAGATTTTAAAATCTACAGTTTAGTGTTGACTGAGGAATAATAGGAAGCAAAACTTAAAAATTGGCAGATAGTTGCTTCTGAAGCATAGCTAGGAGATGCACATCAGGACCGTGCAGAACCCCTGACAAGTAGACTCTAAGAAAACAGAAAACAAAAGAACTGCGGATGCTGGAAATCTGAGACAAAATATTGCTGCATAAACTCATCAGGACCGGCAGCATCTGTAGAGAGATGTGGAGAGAAAGGCCTTCCAAGAAACCTGTTGAATAAAATTTTCCTGCCAGGTTTGGAATGAAGATTTAGAGCATTATTTAGAGTTTCTTCCCCTAATATGGTGTGCAGAGACTGTCCTACAGAGAGCTGTTCAGGCACACCTACAAACACAAGACCAATAGTTAATTGGTAACTGCCACCTTTTGTGTCATGTTGTGACTGGGTTTGCAACTATTATGATCATACCCTAGTTGCCAGTAGCTAACTGACAAAAGACATTAGGAAATTTGCCATCCTTAGAAGAATCTATGTACTGTGTTTTATAATTTTGCATATCTGAATCAGATCCCCAACCCCCGCAGCCTCCTCTGCTCCAAGGAAAACAAACCCAGCCTATCCTCATAACTAAGACTTTTCCTCCCAGGCAACATTCTGGTAAATCTCCCCTGCACACTTTACAATACAATCACATCCCTCATAATGTGTACTCCAGAACTGCATACAATACTCTAGCTATGGCTTTATGCTGTATATAGTTTCAGCTAACCTCCCTGCTGTTAATGTCCGTGCCTTGTCTAATGTCAGATCTCTCTCGGTGACGTACAGAGTGAGGCTTACACTGGTTCTTTTAGGTCACACTTTGACCTGTCCAGTCCATGGGACCTCATCACGATCAAACAGGGAGTTACAAAACCCTTGGAATGTGCAAATATTGGAGAATGCACAAAGTTGTTCCAGATATAGACAATAGGCTGTACGAGTGATGGGATTGTGACAATTATTGTGCATTCTCTTGTTGAGCCTTATCCTGTGGTTTAATTGGCAACATTGGCATGGCAGCAGGAGTTGCACAGAATTGCAGCAGCCTCCTGGTGGTCTGAGTCGGCAGCAGGAGGTAGTGATTGCAGCTCCTCCCAGTGATCGGAGGCAGCAAAGACATGACTCCTTCTGGTGAATGATGCAAGATTCCCAAGCTGACCAAAATACCAGGCCGTAGCTAGGCCCAGGTGCCTGTAGCAGTGGATCCAAACACTTTTATGGTGAGAAGGCTTAAACTTTTAACATTCTTTTATTTCTGCCATTGTTTTCTTTTTAAATTCTGGTTTTGTTACCAAGATGGCATTGGAGAAAGGCGACTTTGTACACTTTTCACTGTATGTACGTATTCCTTTTACTTGAGTACACGTCAAAAAATTCTAATAAAGGCATAATCCCATCTGCCTTCTCAACACTTTATCTACTTGTCCTGCTACCTTAAGGGTCCACTGTACATGCACCGCAAGGTGCCCCAATCCTTGGTACTACCAATCATCATGTCCAAGTGCATCACTTCAAACTTAACCAGATTGGATTACATTTGCCACTGATCAGCCTGTCTATATCCTCCTATAACCTAAGCTTAGCCTATTCACCCCACTGGAAACAGATTTCCAGTCTCAAACGCACCCTCTCCTTCCTATCGCTAAACCAATCCTGAATCCAACTTGCCAAATTTCTTTGGATGCCATGGGTTCTTACCTTCAAGATCGGTCTCTCATTTGCAACTTTGTCAAAAGCCTTGCCATTCCAAACTGGCTGCATTAGAATGCATTGCCCTCTTCTACACACCTGGTCACCTCTTTGAATTTTTCAATCTTATAGGTCAGAAATGGCATCCCCTTGACAAAACCACACTGATGGTTCTTGATTAATCTTCATCCCTCCAAGTACAGATTAATTCTGTCCCTCTGAATTGCTTTCAATAGTTTCCTCCACTGAGGTTAGACTGACTCGCCTGTAGTTTCCTGCTTTATCTCTTACTCCCTTCTTGAATAATGGTATGTATCACATCGGCCATCCTCCAGCCCTCTGGCACCTCTCTTGTGGCCAGAGGGGTATTGAAAATTGTCAGCACCCATGCAGGCTGTGATTTCTTCCCTATTTACAGAAGACTCCCAATTGCATCATGTTTTTCCAATACTTGCTCTATCCATTTTGCCAATATTTCCAAGTTGCTTGTGGCAAGCACTTATGAAGCAAAAATTTAGCCTGGTTTTTGGGCTTAGTAGTAACAGAAAGGTACTTCTAATGCATTAAGTGACAGACTTCAACTTCAGAATTTTAACATAAATCTACACATGTACCCGATCGTGAAGTTGCAGCCAAATGCAGAAGCACAAGCCAATTCACTGTAAAACAAAAAGCAAATTCAAAGCTTTTACTTTCACTCCTTCCATTGCAACAAATTTAATCATAGGTATGTGGTAAAATGTCTGCTAGTACAGTATAATGGAATGACATACCAATATATTAAGCACACAGTTGATAATGGATTAGTGTCAACGAGCTCCTGTATACCCCATTTTCGATCTTGATGGATGCTGGAGATACTAGGATTAGGCTCTCTCACACCTCCTCACTGAGAAGAGGACAAGAAATATATCTTGAACAAAAACTTCTGCAGTTTAATTTTCTTCTGTTGGATCATCTGAAGCTGTGGCATCGGATGAAGGCAAGTATCGAGACATGAAAGTGTATCATCTCTTATTTATGAAGCTTTTTAAAATACATGATCCTATTACAATATATTTCCATATGTGAACAAGTTTATAAATAAAACTTAGATGTGGGATTACAAGTACATAATAGTTTTTTTGGTATATTTTAGTATTTTTCAATTATCACACACCAATTCCCTTGATCATAATAACTCTCTATGATTCTCATATTAGGTATACAACTACATAGGTTTTCTAATTCTCCAGCAGAAAAAACATGATAGTAACGATGGAAAACTGTAATGTTTTTGGGCCCAGTAGGGGGCAATGATGAGGCACTATCCACTTTAACTCCAGCTTTCAAATGCCAAGGAACAAGTAGATCTTGTGACTCAAAAGAGGTTCTATTTGTGTGAACAGGCAGCTTTGCACAGTTTTGTTCATTCACTATGTCTTTATTCTGATCTTCCAACTGACTGAAATGAGCTAAATCCACCTGATTGATATCTTGATCTTCATTCACTATTGGCATTGTGGTGCAATTTTGTCTTTTGGTTGTTTTTTTTCTTTCCATGAGGTATTTAGATTTTATATTGTCACGTTCCTGTTCCATTGCCCAAACATAAATCAGTCCCTTTCCTCCTGGTCGTAAAAGCCTTACAATCTCTTTGATGGCTGACAGTCGTCTTCCCTACAATAAAGACATTGAATAAGAACTAACACAAAACACAGCAAGACATTTTATACATTCTGCAGTTACAAATTTACAATAGAAAACAATGGAGACAACTGTTTAAGCAAAATAAGCATTATTTCACAAACATCCCCATTTAGGTTGCCTCATACCACTTGTCAGAAATAGATTTGGCAGGTGTTAGTAATGTGAGTTCCAGTCCCACATCAGGACCTCTTATCCATGGAAGGTACATCTGCAATGTGCCCAAGTATGTTGACTATCAGAATGTAATTACTTTCATTTAGCCTGATGACAAGTAGCAAGAACATGAATTGTCTCCTGTTTAGCCATCCTGCGGAAGGCAATGGCAAACCATTGAAGAACTTTGTCCGTAAGCATGGACCAATCAATTCAAGTCTACAGTCCAACAAGCTTAAAATACGGACAGATACAAGCAGACAGGAACAAGGAGTCTTTTATAAAACATTGATGTTTTAAAACATTTCGTTTAAAGTGAAATAGAATGTCCTGAGTGCGGTGGTCATGAGATCATGCTAATTGTGTGTGGTGACGATCAATGGTAGTATGGTTATCATGGGGGAAAAAGGCCCAAAAAAAACCTTTAGAAAAATCAAGTGCCAGTTTTCATAAGAGATATGAGGTAGCTGATAACTTTCCTGAGCACAGAGAACCACAGAGAGAAATGGGGTTAGCAGTAGATTCACTGTAAAGTAAAGAGAAGCCACCAAGCACAGTACCAATGAGATTGCATTCTCTGTTCAAAGAACTGAGACTTTTGGAGAGCTAAGGAGAAATGAGTCACTAGAAGATGCCAATCTGCTAGAAGCTGCTTTGGGATCTCAGATGAGTGAAACAACTTCTGAAGGACACTGAAAACTTGCCTGGTGTGGCAGGAAGAGCACAGCCTTGCTTAAAGCAAGGACTCATGTGAAATTGAAAGCTTAAATCTGCTGGGAGCATAGTTTAATGTATAAACAGGCCGTAGAGTACTTTGCTGGCGGTTTCGTAGTTAACGAAGGAAGTTTTCTGTAGTTTGATGAATTGGGTGCCTATTATGTCACTTTAGACCACATTGATTTTACTGTATTTGTTACAATGAAATCTTAAAAATGAAATCTTATGTAAATCTCAGTTGTGAGGTGTATATATATCTAAACTTAAGAGATTAGTTTTCAAGCTAGTGGTATACAAATATTATTTTTGTGAAGGGTTTAAAATAAAAAAAA